GTTGCTTTGTTGCGAAAATGAAACGAAAGGATGTGCATCCATCATGTTTGTGCTACAGATCCGGTAATGATGTAATGGCACATGAGGAGTTGTTTCGGGATAGACGTAACGAGTTTGGAGACGATTTTGAGCATAGCTTAGAGATACTAGCGGTTATCACTACTCGGCAGACTGCACGTTTGGGAATTGTGAGGACTAACCTTTTTTTCATAGACCACCACCAGTAGCATTTCTAAACAGAAGTCTGTGATGCTCTGTATGTGTTGTACAGTTGTATAAGTATCTAGGAATTCCTTCTTCCTTTTGAATAAATCAATATGTTTTCTTAACTCGATTGGTACTCGCCTTGTCATTTTCGTCAAGAATATGCCATCTTTTGGTCAAGATTTTGGTCCTCATTTCCTGGCCAAAATGTGGAGGGAAACTGACGCCAACACCACCAATATAGATATTCATATGAATCTTTTGAATTGAACATTCTTAATCATTTGATTGGCCCAGGATGCGCCTGCTTCTATACAATCCTCATAGTAGTAAACATCATTCGCTCCCACATAACAGTTTGTAGTGGCATGCTTACGTTCCATTTTAAAAACAGTTACTAGTAGGCACGTGTATACAAATGTCGAAGCTGACTCACTTAGGTTTAGATAGTGTCTGTTAGTACTACCCATTATCACGTGCAGCATTAAGACTACAATGATTAAATACCCAACCTTTGACAGTGCGCTGATGTTGCATACTTTGAAGAATTTTTGCTACAGCTAATAGTTGTGAATTCGTACTACATAAGCCGGATCATGCAAGAACGGGATACTAAGCTGAACTGACAGGATTTGGCCGGCTAAGGTGGACCTTGCTAATATCATATTTTGCAGTCAGACATGAACTTTATCTTGATATCCGGTAGCTCAGACATGTAGTTCCAGCAATGACAAAAACATCAATCCCATTGGGCTCGAGGCTTAATTTGAAAGTAGTTTCCTGTTTCTGCATCCAATGTCAGGCACTAAAAGAGAGGGCCCTTGATTTTCTCACCTCTACGAGGAAGAACTTCCTGCGGCGTGCTTGGGATCCGGGTACATTGGATTGCCATTTCAAGGGTTAGCTCTTCGTAAAAGTCGTGAGTTAGTCTGATTCGAGCCACGAAAACCACCGGCCTTGCATTCTAAACAGACACAATAAATCCTTGTTGAACCGACAACACAAGGCCACCAGTGTAACCGAAGCAACTGTTTTGTGCATTTTCTATCTTCATCGTACTTCTTGGGAAGATTCTCGAGTACCACGAAAACACAAATACACCGCCCCGCTTCAGGCTCAGATCTAGTAGACAGTATCCTCGATTCAGATCAACGTCCCCAATCAATCAGAACCCAATCAGCGCCATGGAGACTCAGATTAGTCTGGGATGCACGCGGTATATCTGCCCATTTCGATGAGTCTCGTCCTGATATATAAGCCTTCCGAATTCAACAACCACATCTTGGCACACCTCAACACAAGACCTTTCATAGACACAAAACAACACAGCAACAAAACACAACATTCTCGGATAGCCATGCTTTAGTACCTAAAAAAATAAGCAGCATAGTTCGAATACCACTACAATCCAAGGCTTTTGTGGGGAATCCTTATAGTTGTAATCACTATAACACCTTCTGACGATAATTAACCTGTGCGGTTGTTACTCTTTCTTGGCAAATGTTGAATCTGATTCGCTCCCCATAACCAATCAGCTACCAAGTCATGGGGGGTAGACCAAATACTCCTCTGCTCGAGAACCTACCCATGGCAATCGGACTCGTCAATATCACCACTAGCTTGTCCAACCCAAATCAGACATCACCTCTGCAGCTGCCAGACAATCATACAAAAACCTCATATAGCTCGAGAATAGATGTTTGCCAATCAAACAAGATGCGCTGACCTTTTGGGTTAACAGAGCCACGCAATCTTGGTGAGCTTGTTCGACCACTACTCAGTTCAGACTCCCGAGTATCCAACTCACATCGGTAAACCCAAACACTACCGAACGATCGTCACGCCTAACCATATGCGACCGAAGCGGACAAAACCTAAGATTAAATCGTCGAATAACAGCGCCCAGCTATAGCCATGAATTTTCATATCCGCTATCCTTCAATCAACCCGGCAATCAAACAACATAATAATACACAACCGTACCTGGTGCGACAGACAATCTGGCAACAACCAGCTGCCCAGACTATGTTATCGGCTGCTCAACAGACAACGCTACCCAAAGAAAACACATATACGGACAACCAAATCTGACCCATTCATTGCAATCTTGTGCATGTCATCTTCTTAATATCATCAGACAATCAGCTGCCTCCCGTGTGATTAGAATCGATAGGAAATCAATGTCAATGGATAGCAACACAACAACAGGTACTCTTTTGCATATCCTTGTCCCTGCACGAGAATCCCATCAGTACAGGTTGATTACACATGGCATGTTGATTCCACATGTCGGTGACAAAATGTGTGCCAACCAAGACATGTCTGCGCAATCAGGTTGTCATCATTAACAATGTGACTCATACAACTGATGAGAACAATCAATAAAGCACATCACGAAACGTAGGCACGAGAAAACCGAGGATGACCTGATGAGCAAGTTCTGATAGAGAAGGTAGCAGTAGCACCGTGTAGTATCTCTGTGACATAAAATGTGGACTGAATCGAAGTTTGTAGTTACAATTTTGGATGCAATGCTGTGAAATCTTCTTCAAAGCGTCGAGATCTTGAAGATCACACAATGGTTTTAACTGTGACACATGTCTCCACGGAAACCGAGCTTATGGATTGTCACTCTCTATAATTGGGAAAACCGTATCGGAAGTAGGCAAGTACCGGCATCAAACTCTTCACACCCTTTCCATATTGTTGTAGCAACCAAAAGTTATAAGTATCGGCCTCTCTTTTTGTCACATTCAACAAAGGATATAGGGGTGACAAACTGACAGATCCTTCCGAAGTCCATGGCCACTATAATCGCAAAACCAGACGAAACCACGCTTCTGAAGCATCAACCAAAACTGCTTCAGAAATCACATCCAACATGAATGAAAATCAGACTTAGGCATCGCCTTGATCATCAGCCACCTTTTTTCTATTCTTCCTCGTCGTCGGTCATCTTACTTCAATGGCCTACATCAACCGTAAAACTAGCTGTGCAATCTGAGGACAGCAGCAAGCATCGCACTGAAGTTGCGTTCAGACATTTTCCACTGCTTGTCCGGCCTTTTAATGCCTTGGACGGAAAGGCAACAAAAACCCAACACTCCTCCAGGCCTGGTCTTGTGATCTCTGTACTTCCGTGTGTGAATACAAAGAGCCATCTTAACAGCAGTGAAAGGCATGCTCTTCATTGCCTCCAGTGTCGGCACCAATCAATGTACAATACAATCGGTAGAACAACAAGTTTCTTGATTCCTTTCTTGTAGGTCCTGACTGCTTCCCGATATCCTTTTCCGGTGTTCAAATCTGCATAGGAACCAATTGTTTCCGGGGGCTCAGCTGTTGGATCATTGTCGAAAAACAAATAATCATCATCTGTTACTCGTGGATCCGTAAGCAGTGACTCGATGCACCCCATGCATCATGACAAACAAGCTCAAGATTCTGTTGACTGTGTGGTAGAAGCAAGGTTTTTTGGTGGCAAATCGATCTCCATGTTGTAACGTTTCTTGAGCACTTTTATGAGATTCCTCGTCCAATATGGTCCATTTTGTCGACATTTTGTAGTGTTCATTTGCTTCCAGATTCCCATTGCTCCGGTGGTACCATAACATAAGCTCGCGTAGGTATCCAATGCGCCTTCTTCCTCTTCAAGATGTCTAATAGCTGGATACCACGAACTGCTCCTTGGTAAGGAATGGCAGGCCATTGGTCGCTTGTTCTTTACAATAGGAATTTGAACTTTCTCTCATGCTTGTGTTGATGTTTTGGTTTAGAAAACCATCGTTGTTCCAATCATCCTCTCCAGCGACTACATTGCCGTCAAGCCCCTCACCTCCTCCATATTCGGCAGAATCAAGGTCCTTGTCAGAGCTTCCCTCGGATAGGTCACTATCACCGACCAAATCATTGAAAAATCGTTGTTGTTGTCATGATTTTGCCCAAGCTGATGCATTTCTTCGTCTTCATTGTTTCCACCTCTGGCTGCTGGGCTTGGTTTTGGGTTTCTCTCTTGTTGTTGCCGAGGCGGAGAACCGACGAACCTACTGCGGCTGCTTATTGTTATCTGTTGCTAGTTTTTCAAAGAAGGCACTGGCATCCTCTTTTGAACGTGCGCCTTTTGATGGCTTCAGCCATTGTTGTTTTTGCATAGCTCTTGGTCGAAGCCGGAATCCTTGGTTCTGCTTCGCCGGAGATTTTTGCCTTCTCTTCGAAGATTAGGACGTGTTGCTCCTGATGATGCATGTTTTGCTCCTAATGATGCATGAGCTCGTTTACCACCAAGTACGGTGAAAGAAGTGATGATTCACCACCACCAAGACACCAACCTGGCCGACCTGGCCATCAATTCAGATCGTGTTGGGGCTAATACCCTGACCTATGTTGAAAGTAGAGAGGGCTTCCTCGGCTTAGCAGTACTACCAAGTGCTCGAAGTCAGCGGCACTACATGATGTACTCTTATTGATGTGCCGCTCAATCCACTGTACGATAATACTGCCTTTTGCAGTAAGGGCACTGCGGCATGGTTTCCTGTATCAATCAAAACTGGGATGCAAGTTGACCATTGATTTTTAGCATGATAAAGCAACATCCTCACCATATAGCACACCACACCAGCTAACACGACGTCAAGGCTCCCATTTTTTGGCCTTTTTCTGTGATTTTGTGGTTGAAATAGGTGTTGGATTTATGACTAACGACAAAGTTGGCCGGGGGCACTTTCCGTGTTCCCCACCCATTGTATTCTAGAGTAGGCCTTAAGAATTTCTGAGAAGACTAATTATAATTAGAAGCATTAGGTCATGATTTTCACGGTGCACTCAAAATCTGCGTATTTATTTAGAATTGACGACCACCCTTCTACTTGATTCGTGTGTTTGGTCATTCGAGGCTTCTTAGACGTTTTGAGCTGATCAATCCAAACCCGAGTTCTATGCTTGAATGAATATGACAAACAGTCATGAGGAGAGTCCTCAGTTGCTTTTCCAAGCCAATGAATGGCCTCTGCTTTATCCACATTGAACCCATGCCTGCCATTTGCAAAGGCCATTCCCAGGGTGTATGCTGCTATATTGGAACCTTGGCCAGCTGCAACAGACATGTATACCATGCCCTTGGTGCAGCACTTGGTGACACCAAAACCATTCAAATAATATCCACCCAGCAAAACGGTTGCGCGCACATTGCCAGCTCTGTGAGCTTTGGTGTACCACTGAATGCCCAACTTGAAATCTTGCTTGAAACCATGTAGTCCATAAAAATTTCTCGCTCCTGCTTCATACATTGCATCTGCATTGCCTGAATTTGCCTTCTTCAATAGCTCTTCGGTGTCCTTCTTCTCTTTCACCTTTTCAATCCACTTGGCTGCCAAATCTCCCCAGATGACACCAGCCGCCACCAAGGTTTCGATAGTGTTGCGGTGCTGAACTGCTGGTAGCAGTTTAATCCCCATTTGTTCATTCGTGATGGGGGATTTTAGATCACCACGATGGCTCTGGAAATGTTCCTCAATGGAGGGCCTATCATAGATCCGGCCGTCCTCGGCGATGACAGGATCGCAAGGCAATTCCAAACTAATGGGACAAATCAAGTCATCAGTCAGGGAAGTCATCTGGTCCTTGCTTATTTTCACGGACGTTGAATCAGATTTTCTGCACCGATTGGCTGGAGACATGTTGTCTTGTCAAAACTTGTCCGTTGCAGTTGATGGGCTGAAGGTGGTGGCTGAAACGAAAATTGACACGCTGTGAGTAACTTGGCCGTACAAGCTGCGCATGAATCCATTCATCCGCTGTTCACTAAGCTTCAGCTTCATGGTTTGGAGCCTACCTTTTTCAATTCAAGAAGTTTGTTCAGCAATCGTCGTCAAGTTTGTGAGCCCTGTCGTGGGCAAACCAATCTTCCACGATTTGTGCCCGCGTGGAAACTCCACTCCCGCAACACACCCTTCGGTGGTCATTGAGGCTCATCGGAAACCGTGGACTAACTCAGCGATTGGCTAAAGTATCGATAATGTACTCGTGAGCGGATGCTTTGATTGTTGTTTTGCGTGAGCCTAGCCAGCTAGCTAGCTATGGGTAGGGTTGGACGTAAGAGATTCGAAACTGGTCCGCGAAAGACGTAAAACAGCCAGCCTGCTCGCTCTCTTAGTGCGACCGCGAGAAACCGAACAGCAAATGTAGCTCTGCTTACGGACATCATACTTTCTCTTCTCTCGGTATACCAGGGCAACCAAACAATGATGCAGTTGATGGACAGCAATAGAAACCAGCAATGATGACGTTTCGCGCTGCTTCCCCATTCATTGTTTCTCGGCATTGAATCTCAAGGTTTTAAGGTTTCGATCCCTTCGGCAGTACATGTATCACACCTCGAGGAGGGTCAACTAAACTTGCAGCTACTACGTGTTACAAATCATAGGGACCACCACAACAAGATGGATCAATGATCGAATATAAAATAATGTATTTTCTTCTGCTGCTGCTCCATTTACCGGTACATCCAAGAAGATGAAAGCAGGTTCAAATAAGCTCTGATTGTCGGTGCCTGGTACCTGGTACCTGGTAGTACTTAGATGTGTTCGGCCGTAACAGTTTCATCCTTGACTTCATTGGCTCCGCCGCCACCCTTTCTGTTTACGATCTGCTCTGGAGGCATGTAGGCACTTGAGATGTAGTCTCCCGTGGACATTTGTGGTGGGGCTCGTCCGTCTTCTTCCAGGCGGTGCACGTACTTCTTCAAGAGGTGCATTCGATATGCCAAGAATCCAATGGACAGAATGCATACAACTGCCACAATAGACAAGGAAACGATGGCCGCCTTGTTGTCAGATCCGCCCTCACTTTCAGCATTGCTCGATCCGCTCGCTGGAATCGAAGCAGAAGCATCCTCGTCCGAAGGCGTATTGTTGTTGCTTCCGCTTGAACTGGTGTCGCCTCCGCTGTCACTGGTACCGGTAGTGGGGGTTGAGTCGGCAACATCAGGACCAGATGTAGTGCTCACGGCTTCCCATTCGCAAGTCTTGAAGTGGCCGAGTTCACAAGTTTGCTTGGCTTGGGATGGTGATTCGAGAACAAAGTCGGGACCAGTTTCAATCAGATGATTCACAGTGTTCTGCATCGTCTGGGCTTGCCAGGCCAACAGAGGAATGGGCAGGTAACCTTGAAGGTATGGCCCTTGGTCCATTCCAAACATGAGTTTTCCGTCATCCAGTCCTTTGTAAAATGCATCAGATGTGTCGAAGGCACCAGCGAGAATTTCCGGATGCTTTTCCTTGAGCATGATTCCAGGACCGTGTTGTGGCCCTCCCGCGAGCATGACGCCCAAACCGGAATAGTCATCATTGTTTTCGGTTCGAACAAATGTCTCCACATTGTTGACAAATAGCTCTGCATTGTCGTCGGGCACAGTGACTGCACCCAAGTAAGGTATATTGGCTTCCTTCATTGCCTTTTCAAAGCCGCCACATCGATCAATCAGCACAACATTTCCCGGTGCATGGTCGCAGCATAAAGCGCTGGTAAGCTGTCCTGTTTCCGCCATTCGCTGTCCAGCCAAGTATCCAGCGTTGAACTCCACCATACCCAAATGGTGCTGGAGTCCCAAGTCGCGGCTAAAATCTGGCCCAGCATTGATGGAAACGACCGGCACGTTGAGTTGCTGGCATCCCTTGATGGCATCCAAAACAGCTGTCAATCAATCAAACAGAGAGAGATGGCGGTGAAGGGAATGATGATGAGCAAATACAAGTGGAACAACAGCACAGCACAATGGCAAGTAAAGGCAGGTCTTCTTACTTTCAGATGGAATCGTCACAAAGATTCCGTCCACACCTTCTTGACAGAGTCGTTCAATTTGGTTTGCCATTCGCGTGTGCAACACATCGGCCGTGTCTGGTTCCATTCTGTCGAGCTCCAATAAAACTCCAAAATCATCAGCAGCCTGATTGGCAGCCGTATACACAATGTCCCAAAAGGAATCTGTGGTGACCGCGTGCAAGACACCGGCTATCTTCATCGTGGGGCGGTCGGTACATTTGCACTCAGATGTGGTAACTCCATCCAATGCCTTGTCATTGGGGCACACGGGAAAGCCCTCGGCCTCGCAAATCTGGAAGGTATCCGTCAAGACATTGTCGGCAGTGAAAACTTCGGGCCCACTCAAGAGCATCCCCCATGGAGACTCGGAGGAGGGCGCCAGATGCTTGCCCGTCGTCACGTACAAGGCAGCGTGGACGACACTAAGAGCTCCTTGCAAGTAGGACTGCTGCGACATGGCAAAGGCAAGTTTTCCAGAACTAACTGCTTTATGGACCGCCACACTGCTGCCAAAGGTAGCAAGAAGGGTATCCTGGCATCCCTGTTGATCCAAGAGTGCCCACGTATTTTCCATGAGTTCATCCGACTCGGTCCCAATCAAAACAGCCTGATAAGGACAGTTATCAAAAATTCCCGAAGCCGACACATCGCCGGGAGACTCAATTGCCGTACTTTCCACAGATGTCGTCAAATTGAGCGCCGCAAATCCATCTTGCAATCCTTTGACACGGTTCGAATACTTTTGGGCGTTGGCAGCATCTGTCAGATGGAGAAAGAGAGCCTGCGTGGGAGCCGCCGCCTTGAAATTCTCCGCGGCAGTCTTGCCCGCCAATTCATCGTCCATACCAATAAAGGACGACAATCCAGCTGACTTGGCCACCTGATACCCACTCTCCAATCCAAACACGGGTGTACCTCCCGAAATGACAGTTTCCACGGCCTGTTTCACCTTGTCACTGCCCTCGGGAATGCTGACAATCAAGGCTTGGGCATTACCCGCTGCCTGTGTAATCTGGGATGCCATATTGTCGTAGAGAGAATCCGCATTACCGCCCTCGGCAAAGCTCAGACTAAACTCCACATTCATGTCGCTGGCGGACTGCTTCATGGCGGCTTGGACCTGCATCCAAAAGGTGTCGTCGGAGGCACCATGGACAATCGCCTGAATGGACGTTCCACTGCGTTCAATGCAAGGATCACAGTTGAATTCGACCTGAGCGCCCACCAACGTCGCAGCAAGGACGCAACCAAGGAAGGATTTCATGGTGCAACAAGTGTTCTTTATTCTTTGTTCTGGGCACAACCAATGACACAGAAAAACCAAGTTAGAGACCACCTGAAAGAAGGAAAATCCAGATATTAGTGGAGGCAAGACCTTGGAAGCAGCACAACTTACTATTATAGTTCTCAGGGAAAGCAAATTTATGAGAGAGGGAGGATAGCTAAGCAACCGCAACCACAACAGAACCAGAAGGCTGGTTCACTTCTACTGGTATCTTTTTGGGGAAGAAAACTTGTGGGCTGAGCTTTCCGCGATGTTTGTTTTGAAAATAGGTCCTGCAGCATTCGCGTATCACAAACATCGCCCGCACCCATACCGGTACCAGGTTAAACTTGCAGCTATTAATAACTTGCTTTGACACTTGACACCACCAACGGTTCTCAAGTACACAGGCTTCTCGTTCTTCAAGCATGATTGAGCGTTAAGTATCTTTCAATGAGGAGTTATTAATAGCTAAAGTATTTAATAATTGTATTAAATACCTGCGACGGCGACAACTGACAGAACTTTCTTTGTTTTCAAGTCGACACTTATGCATTTGTATGCTTTGCCTTCCAAGATCCTCCTCTTTGGACGTGCTTCCTCAACTAATGACTTAACTAGAGGTGGTGGTAAAGTACCGGTACCGAAACACCAGTAGCTTTTCCTTAAGCTTTTGAATCTTCCTTACTATTCTAATAGTTTATGATATATGATAGTAGCTAGCTTGCAACAGTACCGGTACCGGTACTGTACCAGGTACCGTTAAGACCATAGTACAATACCATAGTACTCTAGCTAGCTAGAGTACCGGTACATGTAGTTCATCATCAGGGTTGGCGAGCTCCAAACTTTCAAAATAAGCCAGCTGCACCTCTGGATTCATTTTTACCCCACCATTTATTTTGCCTTGTCTGGCGCCATTGTTTGTCACTTGTTCCAGTACTGTACCTTACTGTACCGCATGTCAATACGTAAAGCCCAGCGCTGTAGCGGTGTCTACTTGATCGAAGCCAAGCCAGGCCATGGGGCTCTCAATATCACTAGCTAGTTTCTGTGCAAGGAATCCCGGTTCACCCCTTGAATCGATCCCAGCCACCACCTCAACATCCGAACCCTGCCTGGACAGATGGCATGGGCAGGGGGCGGCACTGGCTCCTATCCACATTGCAGAAACTGATCCTCATGCAGCTTTGGTGATGATGTGTGTTGCGAAGAAGTGGAATGACACCGCCCCCACAGCACTGCTGAATCCTAACGCCCTGATCTGGACCGGCAGCATATTATTATCCGGATGGTTTGTACCAACCCCCAAAACTCCCCCAAAATGTTCGCAGAACTTTTGATGCTGCCGATTGTTGCCTGGTTCTGCCGGACTCAGTTTTTGCCATGAATGAATGTCACTGTTGTGTTTTGTATGGCGGCTTCTGTAGTGACGTGGCTTCTTTCAGCCCAAAAAAATTCCCTTCTCTTTTCGAATGCTTTTCGCTGCAAACAGCTATGATAGATCTTGCCTGCCAACCTGCCAACCGCCAAGCCATCATCGATCACATCATCAGTGCTCAAAGCACCCCGTTTTGTATCAGCAACAACCTACTGGTACGACTTGGCAACATGGCACCTCCGTTTGGTTTCGCTTCGGGCTCTTCGACTCCAGCAACGTCGTATGGTTCCATCTGCCGAGACAACCATGATGCTGGTTGTATCGAGAGTGTGGCGGATGCAACGGGCTTGTTGGCTACCAACAATGATGATTCTGTCGGTGGCGACGAAGACAGCTTATTCTTGGACAATCAAGAAGAGAAGCAACAACGTCTTTTGCAACGAGTCCACGACTTTTCCCTTCCAGTGAATCCCGACAAGGCGTACCGTGCCACTCAATTGCGCCTCCTGAACTTTCAACGTCCTCATATGCGTGCCTTTCACTGTTCCTGGTTGTGTTTCTTTGCAGCCTGGTTGGTATGGTTCAGTGTCGCGCCACTACTGCCCTACGTGCAAGAGTCTCTCTCCATTACCAAGCAAGATTTGTGGACATCCAACTTGTGGAGCATGGCAGGAGCGGTGGTGCTCAGATTCCTCTTGGGACCACTGTGTGATCAAAATGGTGCCAAGGTCATTCTCACCAGTGTCCTGGCGGTCTGTGCCATCTTGACGGGGAGTATGGGATTCCTCACCGGAAACAGTTTTACCACATTTTTGGTACTGCGAACATTGGTGGGATGTGTGGGAGGGACACTGGTGCCAGCCCAGTATTGGGTCACAGCACACTTTGTCCCAGCCATTTGTGGTACTACCATGGCCATGGTGGCAGGGTGGGGCGCCATGGGTGGTGGTATTGCACAAATATTCATGGGGTCCATCGTATTCCCAATCTGTTTGCAGCTGTGCCACGATGATGCCGATTTGGCGTGGCGTGTGGCATTGCTGGTACCCGCCTCCATTGCTCTACTGATTGCCTACTTGTCGTATCAATATGCCGATGATACGCCTCTGGGAAGTGTCCATGAAGTACAACAGGCTGGACTATTGCAGGCGCGCTCTGCGGTAGATTCCTTCCGGGCGGGAGCTGTCAACTTGAATGCCTGGCTGCTCTTCTTACAGTAAGTCTAGCTATGCTTGGACCATTGTTGGGTGCGCGTAAAAGAAGCTGACTCATCGTTCGTTTTCTTACTTTCAGATTCGGGGCTGGATTGGGCATTGAATTGACCATGGAATCTGGCATATCTGTACATCTTGCCGAACGATTCCACTTGTCCCTATCACAAGCTTCCTCCCTCGCCAGTCTCTTTGGACTCATGAATATATTTGCCAGAGGCCTTGGTGGTTGGATTTCTGACCAAATGCACCAACGATACAGTCTGCGAGGACGGCTTGTCATTCAATGGGTCTTTATGGTATTAGAAGGAGGCATGATTTTCGTTTTTTGTCGCACTACAACACTACAATCGACGCTGGTGGCCATGGTAGTCTTTGCAATGCTTGGGCAAATGTCCATGGGAACCTGCTTTGGAATTGTCCCCTACGTGGATCCAGCCAATACAGGGACCATTGCGGGGATTGTGGGGGCTGGTGGCAATGTTGGAGCCATTTGGTTGAGTAGTGTCTTTCGAAATGCATCCTCGGACATGGCGGCCTTTCAAGTTATGGGATTCTTTTGCATTGCCATGTCATTGCTGACTCCCTTGATTGTCATTCGGGGGTATCGAGGTATCTGCTTTGGAACGGAACGAGCGGCTGTGGGTCAAGCAACGGCAACGGGAACAGCCAGCAACAATCCACAAAGAAAGCATCGCTTGAAACCATTACAATCACCATTGCTCGTGCCACGAAATGTCCTAGTAGTCAGGCTTGGCCGAGCCGAGGAGAGTGATGAACCTTAGCACACATATCACCATCCAAATCACGTATCTACGTGGCTGGCTATTTGGATCTGTGCTTTGTCTTATTTCATTGTGTTGTAACACATTACTGTAAACGAATCTTTTTCACTTTTTGTTTGTGAGAGGAAGGAAGTGAGGAGTGAACCAAGATTCCCAAACCTTCAAGCCTCCAAGCAAGCAAGGAAAAGATCTTTGGTGATTGGGGAGAACTCAAAACCAACGACGGAACCTGACCCCGATCCTGAATAGCTACAAGAGGATGGGGTAGCATATTTATTTACTAACCAAACGGTTTCCTCATCCCCCTGTTTTGAGACACTGTCTGAAGTTTTGGACTCGACTCAACTCGGTGAAGCCAAGTTAGTGCCAATGAAGAGTTCTATGGGTTGCTCATAATGGATCCTTGTTCATCCTCCGTTCTTTTGACCAGCATGCTTGCCTCAACACAATGGATAAGGATCTAAAATTTTGTGTCAACTTTGCAAACCCTGGCCGCCGAGGTGCAGGGGAACGGTGGCAGATGCTTCTGGCCGTAAACTCTGACAGTTGAATTCTTCCAAGACGGTGGATACTCCATTCAATCTTGAGACTGAAGGCGTCGATAAAGGCTATTCTGCAGCCGGCAATGAGGGTGGGGCAAGCACGAGTTTTCCCTCCATCGTACATCACCGTCTGATGACAAGAAAGTACCACTGGTGTCTTTGATCCTTGGTGTCAGGACTTTGCCGCCCTAGAATTGGTAGGACCGTGGCAAAACAAGGCAATGGCCATATAATTAATCAGGGAAAGGGTTTTAGATGCACGCCTTTCTTTTAATTCCTCTGGCACAGCAGACACGACAATCATAAGCAAACAAAGTTGACGCAGGTGGTATTTTTGTAACATGTTCGGCCTAGTAAGAACTAACTGTTTACAAAGTCAACATGACAATGGTGCATTGCCGTTCCATAGAATGAGTGTCATTGGCAAATGGCTTGCTCCCATCGAGCATCATGAAATCCTTGGCCGCTATGGTGTACTCCACTGAACCACCCAATTTGTTGGTCCAAATGTGCTGGGTTGCTGGATTGGTTGGCTCCACAACCACATAGGCAAAACCCTGCTCTCGAGCATAGTCTGCAGTCAGCTTGCGAAGATGACTGGCAAGTCCTCTACCAGAATACTGCTTAGAAGTGGCTCCCATGAAGGCATGAAGAACCTCGTTTTGCTTGACTCCAGCAGCGCTGCCAAACCTTTTTTCTACTAGTTGAGTGTCCAGGAGCTCCAGAAGGGCAAAAATTGGAAGAGCTTCAGGAAGGTCTCTAACAAGATCCTCACTAGCTTCTTCATCAGGGTTCATTGTATCAAAAAAGTCTTCATTCAGCATGGCTGCTACAATGCGGCCAGTTTCATTATCCATGCAGACCAAGGAGAGTTCGTCCGCAATGCACTTGTCCACCAGTGCTTCCACCAAGTGCTCCTTGAGCAAATCTGCAGTAATACCTAGAAACTTGCAAAAGGGCTCTCCTTCAGCAAAGCTTGTGGCTACCATAGAAATGACATCATCACGATGGCTTGGCTTCTCTGCAATGAATGACTTGTTGAGGACACTGATGGTGAATCCAGGGCAGGTTGTAGTGTCAATGAACATATTTAAAAGGTTTGGTTGTAGTTTTGTTGGTTGTTGAATTGTTTTCTTGGGCTTGTGTGAAGCTGTGGAAATTTAGATTTGTGAGCCAATTGCAATTGTTGCCAAATCTATTTGGCTGTCTTGCCAAAAAAGGTGGGATTGATTCACTGTGACTCAACTCAGCATTCCACAAACATGACAAAACCTGGGTACATGTAGCTCGTAGCAGCCAGACAGCCACCGTCATACGACTGACATCGCACTCCCAAAATAGGAATAAAGTCGCACAGCCTCCACAAAGTCGCATTTTTTTAAAAAATTACGTCACTTTGTCCTGCTTGTGCACTTGATTGCTTGCCTTGGGTTCCTGCATCATGCCCCTCCCCTCAAGCTCTGTCCCCATCCTCATCTTGGCTCTCTCTAATCCATAGTAACTTCCCACTGTTCAGTTTGAACGATCTAGAATGTGGCTATTTGGATCTGTGCTACATCCTATTTCATTGTGTTGTAAACGTATTTCTGTAAATGAATCTGTTTCACTTTTCGTTTGCGATAGGAAGGAAGGAAGGGAGCGGATGCTTTTCAGTGTCTGGACAGCCGCACAGCCAATCACCAGAAGGTACAAGCCGGCGGTTGGCTTGCCGATAGCGGCATGGTTTGAGACTAAAATACATGAAGCAGCACGAGCTGATGGAAGAAGCAGCATAAGCCGACCGGAAAGTTTTAGCACAGCTGGGGGGTGCCTCAAACCAACTTTGTTTACCTGATTGTTTCCCCAACCACCAGATATCAAGCTTTTGTGTGATCGCCAAACGAGCGATGGTGGTGGAGAGTGGTGCAGCGTGATGACAATCGCAAAAACCTTAAGGATGGTAAACAGGCGGTGAACAAGCGGTAAACAGGCGGTGAAAAGACGGTAAAACAGGCGGTTGAAGGTGGTCAAAGGTGGTCGGAGGCGGTGGAAGTTGGTCTAAAGTGACTAAGGTTGGTTAATAATGGCTACCAACGCTAAATGATTTCAGAAAGGTGGGAGAAGATAGAGCATGCCATACAGAGTTGGTTTGAGGCATGCCCCTGGATATCCATGATCACGTTGCCAGCTTAGCTGTCTAAATGAATCCCGCTGATGGATTCAGAAGGAAAATGAATCCCTTTTTCGATTGATAGATCCCACCAGTGGCAGTGAGCACTCTCGATGCCTCCATGCCACTGACGATGGCACTATCCCCACCAGTTTTCATCCAGAACGCTCACAGCGACAACTGGGAAGCATCAACCTAACTATTACGCACTCATGACTTGCTTATCAGTGCTTTATCCGTCGGATTTGCCGCACAAAAGAGAGGAAGGATCGACACGAACGTTCTGAACTGAAGATGGCGGTCAATTCGTTATTTTGGCCAAGCTATACCGCAGGAACGTTCCTAGACTTACGAGGGAAGCAGCAGGAGCCGTCATGGACCAAGTCAGCACCACAACAGGCCGCAACACAACAACACAACAACAACAAACAACAACAACAACAACAACACCAACAACAACAACAACAACAACAACAACAAAACAACAACAAACAACAACAACATCGCGACGACTGCATCTGGATTCGAGTCAACGATGGCGTCTGGATTCGAGTCTGATTCCGATGAAGATTCCATGGCTCTGTCGCCACCGACAGAGCCGGACACGCTGGAAGACTTTTTTGAAGAGGCTGATCTCTCATTGGTTGTTCAGCTGACAGTGCGCGAGATCATGAAAAGGACAATCAAGGGAAGATTCACCACCGTTGAAAGACTGACGGAAGTGGACCCAAAAGATACGAAGTACCACATCACCGTGGGAAAGGCCAGAAGAGTTCTTTGGCAGCAATTCAAGCAAGAGCATGGGCTCTTCAAGAGCAACATTGGCAAGATCAAGGAGAAACTGAATGCAACAACAGAAATGATGGCGGCGTACAAGTTTCTATTTGGCCAAGACAGTCGGATTGGAGTGCTATTGCAAACCAAGCTGGAGCTCTCGAAACAAGAGTATCTCCATTTCATTGTCACCTTTCTGAAGTCTTGCCGCTACAAAATGCCTGTTGCTGCTTTGCATCGCTCTATCGACAACTTTGATTTGATGCCTTTGCGGCAATACAACACGATTTGGTCCAGACTTTCCGCTCTACCAAGGAATGCTCGGGGAGAATCGTTCTGGCAGGAGCTAGAAACGATTATCAACGATTTTTGATGGAGCTCTTCATTGGACCGAATGATGACGAGAAACTGAAGCCCTTCGCTTAGTGATGCACTGGTTGCTTGGTTTAGACGATGACAAATTGAATTTCAACTACAGCACAAGCACGGATGCCGACGGGTTGAAAAGAGACCACCATGCACAAGACAACCGGGAGGTTTCACGGCTCACACCTGCTGCCATTCGGCCACGTGTGTTCCGATTCAGGTTGCCTTTCAGCGAGAAGGAGAGACGGTCGTAGAGTGTACAAGGCGACTCATCAACGATCTTTTTGGGAAGCACACCGGCAAGTTGGTTCGACTATCGAATGTGACATTCTTCATGGACCGAGGGTATTGGAATGCGAAGGTCATGTTTGAATTGCTTGAGAAAGGAGCCGACATTCACGGCACAGTCAGACGGATGGATTGGGTGCCCTACACATTTGTTAAGGGCGAGAAGGATGATACCGCAAAGCCGCAGCAGGTTGATCCTGAGGCGGAGTTTCCAAACAAGCCAAAGAAAGTCAAACATGAAAGGATACAAAGATACCTATCACATGGCCTCAAATGGAAGGGAACGGAAGCGCAACGGAAGCTTGATCTCTTCGCCTATCGGAGTGGAACTGTGAATTCCTGCTGTTGCTATGGACGCTCTCGATCGTAACAAGAGACCACTATGATTTTACTCCGGCAAGCGAAGCCGTACCATCGTTTGGTGATCTATAGACAAAGAGATTGGATCCACTTGACCCGAAGAAAAAGGCATGAAGTTGCTTTAGGCGATCCTGAAGATCCCATGCACAATGCTGTTCGCAAATCTTGAGCCACGGAACCTGCACTCAAGCCTGCGCGATGGGTTGTTGATCGACCGAAGTTTTCCGG